AAGGGATATAAATCTTAACCTTTCATTTCGCTTCCGCACTTAAATTATTATATATATTTTCTTTTGGATTTCAAGGACTGTTACACATTGAGTTATGTTACGATGAATCTCTAGAGGTGATTTTGGCCTCTAAAGCGATATTCTTTAAGCATTTAGAGGTAATTTGTTAAATCACATCCACTATCATATAGGTACATAAAGTCATAAAATATTTATTTTTTTAGATTCCTTCATCATCTAAATCTTGTTTTAAAAATAATTTCAAAAATCATTTTTACAAATCTCTTTAAAAATGTTGAGAATTTAACTTTCTTTAAGAAAAACACTGGTAGCTTTGAAGAGATTCTTAAAGGAATACTTTGGAAGGAAAGAACTTCTCAAGCATTAAACCATGAGATCCCTAATTTTACAAATAAGATAAATAATTCTAAATATTTTACTCTTTGATCTTCAGTTGTTTGTCATCTCTTGATGCTTCTGTTTTAATTTATTTCTCTTGTTGAGTCAAATATTTCCTGTTATCTCAACAATTAATAAGACATCATTAGTGAAAAATAAGTTTATTTGATTCATCAAAATTGATCGAGTTACTATATTTTGTTTAATAATTTTAAACTAAAAATTCATACATTTAATTAATTACGTAACACATGCACACAAATAAAATACATCTTTCAAATGAAGACATAAGAGATGAGTAATCAAATTTGAACTCTTACTTTATAGAAAAAGAAAGAAGTACCAACCATTTAACTAAGAAATGAGTGACCTCTTTTAATCATTTAATTAATATATAATTATACATAATGATGGAACACTGATTTTACATTAGTGTTGTATTCTCTACTAAGTATCTATTATGATATTATCAAATATTTGGAGATGTAATAAAAAAGATTGGTAATTAGTAAGGCGTTTCTCCAATAAAATTGCCAGGAGGATCATAATTGCAAACAATGAAGGTAGCACCGTTGTTGCACTTGGCCTTACCACACCCTATTAAACGTGAATTTCGCCAGACAACTTGAGTATAGTGCAAACACATTTGGCCAGCAACACATGAATTAGAATCATAATCATAATTAGGCTTCTCGATGACCCACATTTTGGAGGCATCAACAGCCGAGAGATCAGGGATGCCCCAAGCTAAGTTCTCGCCGTAAGGGCCACCTGAATGCACCAATTGACAATCATGAATGCGTTTGTTGGCATAGTGTTGTGCATATGCTGCCACAGTATTGTCCCAAGCCAATGGCTCAACGCCTACTTCATCACGAGCCGCGTTATGGGCGTCAAGGAAGTCTTGGTGTGAGTCTTGTGCATCGGACAAGCGCATTATGTTGCTTATAATAATACAACCTACAGAGGCTAATTGATAGAGTGGGTAGTAGTTCTTCATTATTTTTGAATTGCTTTCTTCTTTTCTTTTGTGATGTTGGATAGATATTGATAGAGATGCCTAATGGGTATTTAAAGAGATCAATATATTAATGATTTGATTAAATTTAGAAATTAAATGTTAGAAATTTCAATGCTTCATTATCAATAAAACTATAATTAGGATTGTAACGGTTATCTGCATTATATTAGGAGTAAATGATTATTACTTATCCAAGTCATTTAGGGTATGAATTATGAACAACTAGCTGTTAGATAGATTTTTTTTTTTTTTTTTTTTTTGTAGGTTATATTTAGAATGAGTATGAATAATATTTCTATTTTTATTTAAAAATATATACGATTAAGCCTAGTTATATTTAAAATACTTTTGCATGATAATTTCTTTTTTTTTTTCTATGATGTGATAAAAATTAAAATATATTATCTGGATCCAAGTTGCAATTTTTTGCTAGTAATAACAAATTCTTTATTATAAGTACATGTAATTTATTTAAAAATTTATACTCGGTCCAACTATAATTAACAACTAAAATATTATAAATTTATACTGCTTTGTTATAACAAAACATCTCGAATAATCTCTGAAATGCTTCCTCCCGTTTGTTGATGAGCCTCTTCTTCACTTGACCTCTGCACTTTTGTATGTTACATATATATATATATATATATATATATATATTCTGTCAACCTAATATACCCCATTTATTTCCTTGATCCAAATAAGATGAATTAATTACCAGATATAATACCTTAATCTTATTTGAATTGTTTTTATATTTATTAATTTTTAATAGATTAGAAGTATTATTATTATTATTATTACTACTACTACTATTTATCTTTCAAAGATCAAAATAAAAATAAAGAAAAAAAACAAAAAAAAAACTCAGATATTTTCTCAATTCTCACTCATTTTAAAATTCATTTCCACTAAATTCATAAGCCAAATTCTCATTGGACATGCTTTAAAACATTTTCGAACCTTAGGCAATAAAACCCAAAAGCCCATCTTCCTTAACCACCCAAAACGACATCGTTGTGGGTGTTGTCCCCCCATCCAATTTATCCCTTTTAGTCTTTTAGGCACAAAACCCAGATAAACCCCTTCTCATTTAATCTAACCCATCCTCCCCCCATTTATTTCTCTCTTCCTTTTCTTCGCAAGGGGCAAGCCTAAACAAGAAACTAACCGCGCTCGAAATTACCAAAATGCTTCTTCTTCAGCCCTAAGCCTATAAATTAGCCACTTCCATCATGTTTGGTTAAATTTTAGTGATAATTAATTAATGTATGATAATGACAGTAATTAGATAATAATAACATAACATGAAAGTGATAAAAAATTTTTTTATATATTTGGATGATTATATATTAATATATGTTAATGACATATTTTTGTTTGGATGATAGCATGGTATAGTTGTATTTTCAATCAAATTACTAATTTACCCTTACATATTTATGTAATAGTACATGGTATATAAAAAATATATAATAAAAAAATTAAATTATTTACCAATATAATTATATTTGTATTTAAATAAATAAAATATACAAATTAAATTTGTATATTTAATCAAATAAATAATAAATTGTGATGATCAAAATAGAATTAAATATATTATATGGGGGTATAAAAAGAAAAAAAATAACATGTCAGTTACATATCACCAATTCGGTGGTTTTAAAATTTATCCAAAATTTATCAATCAGATACCGTTTGTTACAATTGAAAGTTGAAACAAACATGATTTTCTCACATCCGTAGAATACCATATATTAAAATCATATCATTTATTACGATCTAAACAGGGTGTTCATAAACTTTTCTCCCTCTTCTTTCATAAACACAGAGAGAGAGAGAGAGAGAGAGAGCCAGAATATTTTTCTTTCTTTTTTAGAGTGAAATAGAGAACAGGTAAAACAAAATCTAAAATCAAGTAAAAATAAAAATTTTTGACAAATTTCACCTGTAATGTCAAATCAGATTCAATCATCTGACAATCATCAAAAGAATATGAGGAAGGAAAAGCATAACAAGTAAGTGATTTTATCCCTTTGGAGTTCTTTTTGCATTTCTTTCTTTTGGAGTCGAAGGAAGACAGAGGATTTCTTGTGGAAAACGTGTGCTTCAATTTCTCTTCTCTCACGCTTCGCCACACTCTCACCTCTAAAATAGCATCATAGGACTCCTAGAGAGTCTTACCCAGTTCAGTTCTTGGACCAAGAATCAGTCACCACATACTTTTCACAGGCTATGGTGACGGCTTGCCCTCTTTCTCTCTCCTAATAACCAAACCCTCGACAGACCATGTCAATTCCTTCCAGTTGACCAAGAACGAGAGAGAATCAAGTTGGTTTGGATACTAATCAAGATTTTTTTTTTTGGATTTCTTTTTTTTGGAATCAAAGGAGAATAGAGTTCTTATGGAGAATGTCTCTTCTTTCACGCTTCGCAACACTCTCACCTATGAAACAACATTATAGGACTCCCAGAGAGTCTTAACTAGTTCAGTTCTTGGACCAAGAATCGGCCACCACATACTTTTCACAGGTTATGGTGACAGCTTGGCCTTCTTCTTGTCTCCTGATAACCAGACCCTCGATAGACCAGGTCAATTCCTCTTAGTTGACTAAGAACGAGAAAGAATCGTGTTGGTTTGGATATCGATCAAGATTTCTTTTGGCATTTCTTTTTCTTGGAACTGAAGAAGAATAAAGGAGTTCTTGTGGAGAATGTCTCTTCTTTCACGCTCCACAACACTCTCACCTCTGAAATAGCGTCGTAGGACTCCCAGAGAGTCTTACTTAGTTCAGTTCTTGGACCAAGAATCAGCCACCATGTACTGTTCATAGGTTATGGTGATGACTTGGCCTTCTTCCTCTCTCCCAATAACTAGACCCTCGACAGACCAGGTCAATTCCTCCCAGTTGACCAAGAATAATAGAGAATTATGTTGGTTTGGATACCAATTAAGATTTCTAATTTTGATCAAGCCTCGAACGGATTTTATCTTTGGTTATAATCGTACGACATGGGAATCTTGAATTTGTTC